TACGAAATCTAAGAGAACGGATGGAGGGAAAAGCCAAATCCCCGGGGCGTACGTTGCTAACCGCCTTGCCCTTCTCGGACGAGGTCATGGCCTTCAAGATACCGGGCGACTTTAAGTTTCCGGAGCAAGCCACATTTGACGGATCAGGCGACCCGCGAGAACACCTGTTGAGTTACCAAGCTAAGATGCAAGTCCTAGGAGTGCGGGATCCGGTCATGTGCCGTGCCTTCTTACCTACGCTGAAGGGGCCCGCCCAAAGATGGCTTGTAAGTCAGCCCCCAGGGTCGATCCACAGCTTTGAAGAACTGGCAGACCGCTTCATGAGCCACTATGCCGCTAACATCAAGCCACAGAAGGATCTGACGCACTTAGGCGACATCCATCAGGATGAAGGCGAGTCCTTGAAAGCCTATCTTGCTCACTGGCAGAAGGAGATCCAGTCGATAGAAGAGGTGGAGGACGAAACAGCGCTCACCTTCTTCATTGAATCTTTGCGATCCAGACAGCTGTATCGAGATCTAAGGGACAACCGCCCGGCGACATACGCGGAGGCTGTCCAGATGGCCAATAAGAGGGCCAACACAGAGCAGGCCATGAAGCATAAACGGCAGCGCGAGGTCGGTGGGTCCGCCAGCGGAAAAAGGACGCGGGTGGAAACGAGAGAAAGGCGTTCGGATGCCGCCTGGCGACCCGAGGTCAGGCGACCGTATGACCGACCCGTCGTTCGCACCTATCGACCGGTTCCAGAGCGACCAGTCCGCGAAGTACAGGCGGTCGCCCCGCCTTCGCCTCCGCCGATGGACGACCGAGCAGCGGACGAGGATACGGGTAAGACTTCTAAATATTGTCGCTATCACAAATCTTATACTCACAGCACAGAAGAATGCTACTATCTAAAGAAGATTATGGAGGGGATCATCCAGCAAGGGACACCGCCCCCTAACCAATGGAAGCGAAGGTCGACCGGTCGAGGAGGCGAGGGAACCGCCGCCGACGTGGAAAACAGCCGGGGTAAGCAGCCGGCTTCCGAAGAGGACGAAGCCCAATGGCGCCAGAAGCCGGTCATTAACATGATAGTCGGTGGGCCAGAAGGCGGCGATTCCGCGAACACCCGAAAAGCCTGGGCTCGGCAGCTATATGTCGGAACAGTCTATGGTCGAGAAGAGAGCTCCAAAAAGATATGTCGGGAACCCATCGTGTTCACCGATAAAGACCTGCCAGCCGGGGAAACCCCGCATCGAGACGCGTTGGTCATCGCCATGGACATCAACGGTGTGGTCGTTCGCCGAATCCTGGTCGACACTGGGAGCAGCGTCAATGTACTGTACCTGGAGACCTTTACCAAGATGGGGCTGACCCGAGAACAGCTCAGGCCCGTGAACACCCCTCTCGCCGGTTTCACCGGGGACTCGGTGGAGGCGGAAGGGTCCATCACTCTTCCTGTGGAAGTCGACAGCTATCCGAACGTACAACAGTTGAGCATGAAGTTCATCGTGGTTGATCTGGCCTGCTCACACAACGCCATACTCGGCCGCCCGGGTTTGGAAGACCTTGGGGCTCTGATCTCAATTGAACATTTGTGCCTGAAATTCCGCACGCCGAACGGAATAGGAACGGTGCGTTGTGACCGCAAGGTCGCCCGCGACTGCTATCTGCAGGCATGTAGAGGTATGGGCAAGCGTGGGATGCAGGTTCATGAGATCACCGAGAGGCCCCCTAAGAAAACAGTGATACCACGCCCGGAGCCGGCCGTCGAGCTAGAGGAAGTTGAAGTGGACCCAGCGCAGCCAAGCAGGCGAGTGAGAATCGGAGTCGGCCTTTCGGAGAAGTTAAAGGGGGAAATCACGAGAGTACTCCAAGAGCACCGGCTGGTCTTCGCCTGGGGCCCAGAAGATATGCCCGGCGTAGATCGATCGGTCATATCGCATCGACTCGCCGTAGACCCGGAGCACCGGCCGGTCGTGCAAAAGAAACGATACTTGGCCAACGATCGGAGGGAGTTTGTGAAGAAAGAAGTCAGCACGCTGTTAGCAGCCGGACACGTCCGTGAGGTCAAGTACCCAGAATGGTTGGCTAACGTGGTCCTTGTGCCCAAGCCCCCGACGTGGCGAATGTGTGTAGACTACACAGATCTTAACAAAGCGTGCCCAAAGGATCCGTTTCCTCTGCCCCGAATCGACCAGCTAGTCGACGAGACAGCCGGGTCGGCGTTGCTCAGTTTTATGGATGCCTTCAGAGGGTACCATCAAATATTCATGCACCCGGCAGACGAGGAGAAGACCGCCTTCCTAACTCCGGACGGAGTGTATTGCTATCAAGTCATGCCATTCGGACTCAAAAATGCCGGGGCTACGTACACCCGAATGGTCGTCCGGTTATTCCACCACCTGCTAGGAAAGTCGATGGCCGCGTACGTCGACGACATGCTCGTCAAGAGTCGAGAGGAGGACAAGCACGCGGAGGATTTAGCCGACTGCTTTAAAGTAATGATAAAGTATAACCTCCGACTGAACCCCAAGAAGTGTGCGTTCGCCGTCCAGGGCGGTAAGTTCTTGGGCTACATGGTCACCAAACGAGGCATTGAGCCTAACCCAGAGAAAGTACAAGCCATCCTCGACATGCAGCCTCCTACTACTATCAAGGACCTACAACGCTTGACCGGACGACTGGCCGCTCTCAGCCGTTTTCTGAGCAAATCGGCGGATAAGACTGTGCCTTTCTTCGAAGCCATGAAGAAGAAAGAGGGATTCGCTTGGACTGCCGAATGCCAACAGTCATTCGAGGAATTAAAACGATATCTGTCGACTCCCCCAGTACTGTCTACCCCCCAGGAGGGCGAGCCCTTACTGTTGTACCTCGCCGCCTCGGCCAAAGCGGTAAGTTCAGTGTTGGTTAGAGAGGAGGACCGAGTCCAGCACCCGGTTTACTATGTAAGCCGCTCACTGAAAGCTGCCGAGACACGGTACACTGCCCTGGAAAAGATCGTGTATGCCTTGGTGGTCACCGTTCGCAAGTTGGCGCCTTATTTCCAAGCCCATACCGTCCGGGTCCTGACGGATCAACCACTCGGGAGTGTACTACGGAACCCATTGTCTTCCGGCCGGCTAGTGAAGTGGGCCGTGGAGCTGACTCAATACGGGATCGAGTACCAACCCAGGCCCTCCATCAAAGGCCAAGCTTTGGCCGACTTCCTGGTCGAGTGTACGGCGAGCGAGGAGGAGAAGGAAAGTGCCTCGGAAAGCAACCCGGGCGAGTGGTGGGAGATGCATGCGGACGGAGCATCAAGTCGACAGCACTGCGGAGGCGGCGTTGTGCTCATCACCCCGGAGGGATTTCGGCTGTATTACGCCCTAAGGTACCTGTTCCCTGCATCAAATAACGAGGCCGAGTACGAAGCAGTATTGAACGGCCTCCGACTCGCCAAGGGTCTAGGAATCGAACGGCTACGGGTCAAAACCGACTCCCGACTAGTAGTCGGGCAAATCTCGGGTACGTGCGAAGCTAAGAACGCGAGGATGGCGTTGTACAAAGAATGTGCCACCAAGATGTTGAAGGGGTTCGAAGCTTATGAAATAGAATACATATCCCGGGCGGACAATGTAGAGGCCGACATCTTGTCTAAAATCGCCTTGGAAGGGGTGCCGGACCGCTTAATAAAGATTTGCCAGAAGGAGGAGCTAAGTCGGCCGAGTGTCGAAGAGGCGCCGCTAGATGTCCAGCAAGTAAGCATCGAAGGGTGGGATCGAGAGAAAAACCCGGAGATGTTCTGGATAGATGACATCCGGCGATTCAAGGAAACAGGCGAGTTGCCAGCTGACCCATCAGTCGCCGCGAGGGTTCGGCGGAAAGCCCCCTCTTTCCGGATCGTAGACGGAGACCTATATAAACAGTCGTTCGGAGGACCCTTGTTGAAATGCCTACTTAAGCCCGAGGCGGAGAAGGTAATGGATGAAGCTCATAGAGGCATTTGCGCTGCGCACCAGGGTGCTCACACGCTCGCCCGAAAATTGGTCGTTCAAGGGTATTACTGGCCGACCATGATGCGAGACTGTGTTGAACGGATGTCCAAATGCGGCGTTTGTCAGGCATTCGCCAGGAAAGACACTCGGCCAGCCACCTTCTATACACCGGTCACCACTGCCATTCCCTTCGCCAAATGGGGAATAGACCTGTTGGGACCATTACCCGTCGCCCCGGGAGGATTGAAGTTTTGCGTCGTGGCCATCGATTACTTCACCAAGTGGGTCGAGGCGGAACCCCTGACTACCATCACCGAGTACCAGTGTCGACGTTTTCTGTGGAAAAAGGTGATCTGTCGCTACGGTTTGCCCGAGCACATCGTCAGCGATAACGGGCGACAGTTCGATTGCCAGGCGTTCGCCGAATTCTGCCGCCGACACGGTATCAGGCATACCAAGGTATCGGTGGCCTACCCCCAGGCAAATGGACAGGTGGAGAATGTGAACCGAACCCTGGTCGATGGGATCCGGAAGAAACTCGAAGACGTCCGAGGAAACTGGGCGGACGAGCTTGATCGAGTCCTTTGGGCCTATCGCACTACCCAGCGGCGAGCGACGGGAGAGAGTCCGTTCTCGCTCGCATACGGCTTTGAGGCCAAGGTTCCCGTCGAAGTGGTCGAACCCACCCACCGGGTTCGCACCTACTCGGACGCAACAAATGAGGAGAGCCTGCAGATTGAGAAAAATTTTCTAGAAGAAAGAAGGGAAGCCGCGAGTGTGCGAATGGCTGAGTACCAGCAGACAGTGAAAAGATACCGCGACCGCAGAACTCGCCCGCGAACCTTCCAGGTTGGCGACCTAGTGCTGCGGGATCGACAAGCCAGCCAGCCCACCGAAGGAGGCAAGCTCGCGGTCAAGTGGGAAGGACCGTACCGCATCGCGACCGTAGTTCAGGCCGGAACTTACAAGTTAGAGACCATGGAAGGCAAGCTTATAGATCGAATATGGAATGCTACGCATCTGAAAAGATTTTATCAGTAGCCAATGACAAGTCATGTATGAGATCGAGGATTCCAAGAAATCCGAATAAAAGTGCGTGGGTTGCAGCCAATCGTCCCCAGAGACCCGGCAAGTATATATAGAAACAACGGGGCACTGACCCTAAACCGTTTCTGAGAACCGAAAAAGCCTAAAGGAGTCGCCTCGACTGAGGGACTCGGCGAGAGAAAGATAGGAAACAAGGGCCCAAACCCTTAGACGTTTCCGTGAAAAAGCCAAAAGGAGTCGCCTCGACTGAGAGACTCGGCAAGTATATATAGAAACAACGGGGCACTGACCCTACACCGTTTCTGAGAACAGAAAAAGCCTAAAGGAGTCGCCTCGACTGAGGGACTCGGCGAGAGAAAGATAGGAAACAAGGGCCCAGACCCTTAGACGTTTCCGTGAAAAAGCCAAATGGAGTCGCCTCGACTGAGAGACTCGGCAAGTATATATAGAAACAACGGGGCACTGACCCTACACCGTTTCTGAGAACAGAAAAAGCCTAAAGGAGTCGCCTCGACTGAGGGACTCGGCGAGAGAAAGATAGGAAACAAGGGACCAGACCCTTAGACGTTTCCGTGAAAAAGCCAAAAGGAGTCGCCTTGACTGAGAGACTCGGCAAGTATATATAGAAACAACCGGGCACTGACCCTACACCGTTTCTGAGAACAGAAAAAGCCTAAAGGAGTCGCCTCGACTGAGGGACTCGGCGAGAGAAAGATAGGAAACAAGGGCCCAGACCCTTAGACGTTTCCGTGAAAAAGCCAAAAGGAGTCGCCTCGACTGAGAGACTCGGCGAGTATATATAGAAACAACGGGGCACTGACCCTAAACCGTTTCTGAGAACAGAAAAAGCCTAAAGGAGTCACCTCGACTGAGGGACTCGGCGAGAGAAAGATAGGAAACAAGGGCCCAGACCCTTAGACGTTTCCGTGAAAAAGCCAAAAGGAGTCGCCTCGACTGAGAGACTCGGCGAGTATATATAGAAACAACGGGGCACTGACCCTAAACCGTTTCTGAGAACCGAAAAAGCCTAAAGGAGTCGCCTCGACTGAGGGACTCGGCGAGAAAAAGATAGGAAACAAGGGCCCAGACCCTTAGACGTTTCCGTGAAAAAGCCAAAAGGAGTCGCCTCGACTGAGAGACTCGGCAAGTATATATGGAAACAACGGGGCACTGACCCTAAACCGTTTCTGAGAACAGAAAAAGCCTAAAGGAGTCGCCTCGACTGAGGGACTCGGCGAGAGAAAGATAGGAAACAAGGGCCCAGACCCTTAGACGTTTCCGTGAAAAAGCCAAAAGGAGTCGCCTCGACTGAGAGACTCGGCGAGTATATATAGAAACAACGGGGCACTGACCCTAAACCGTTTCTGAAAACAGGAAAAGCCTAAAGGAGTCGCCTCGACTGAGGGACTCGGCGAGAGAAAGATAGGAAGCAAGGGGCCAGACCCTTAGTCGTTTCCAAGAGAAAAAGCTGAAAGGAGTCGCCTCGACTGAGGGACTCGGCGAGAAAGAGCTGGGAGACAAGAGCCCAGGCCCTTAGTCGTTTCTCGGAGGAAGCATGAAAGAGTCGCCTTGACTGAGGAGCTCGGCGAGGAAAAAGCAAAGTTCAAAGCCTTAAAAGAATGCCAATATTAAAAGAGCCCAAGGACAAATTCCGTAAAAAGAGATGAAAAAACTGTTTCTTTATTAAAATACGGCCGATAAGGAGGCCAGCCCTTACAAAAAGAGGGTCTATTCTAAAAAGACCCTAGTCTACAGTGGAGGGGGTAGCGACGGCGACCCCTTCAACTTGCGCCCCCGCCGATGGTCCAGCAAGGGGAGCAGAGGAAGGGTCCTCCGCCTGAGGAAGGGACTCGGCAAGCTCTGGAGGCGTCGCCGCATGAAGAGTCGCCGGGTCAGTAGGCGCAGTCGGCCCATCAGCGTCCAGCACCGGCTTGAGGCCCCAGCTCTCGGGAGTGAACGAAGGGTCGCGGGCCAACAAGGTGGCGTGAATCTCCATCTGCGCCTCGCGGAAGCCGAGGCGGTAATCTCGCTCGCCCAGGTCGAGGAGGAAATCATCGCCCTCCGGGGTCGCCAGCCACTCCTTGGCCACCTCTCTCCTTCGAGCTGCCACCGCCGCCTGCACATCCGCCTCGAAGGCCGCCGACTTCTTATAATCTGCGACGGAAGTCGCGGCGATCGTGGCCACTTTGCCCTTCTCCTCCTCCCATTGACGGGTGACCCTCAGCAGCTCGGCGTTGTGCACCTCCACCATCTTGAGTTGCTTCGCCTGCTCTTCCAGAAGAGCTTCCTCTGTCTGGCGCTGCTTGGCGGTCATGGCCCGCATATCGTTCCTAAAGCCCTGGAACCGATTGCCCAGTTCCATCTGGAGGGCGAGGTCCTGCGCACCCAGCCTCAGTCGAACAGAAAAAAAAAAAAAAAAAAAAAAAAAAAAAAAAAAAAAGAGAGTAAACAGAGGGAAAGGTCGAATGAGTAACACTTACGCGATACGACTGCCGGAGTAAAGCCTCGATGATGAACCCGTCGCCAAGAGCACGGGTCGACTCCACATCCTTTGGCAAAAGGACATCCTTGCACCACTTGCGAACGGAGGTGTTGCCCATCCAGATTTGGGCGTCCTCGTCCACCTCGTGGCACAGCCTGATCCTCTTTGGAGCCGGCCCCTCCGTAGGCTCAGCAGGCCGCTTAGAACTCGGACTCTCGGTAGAGGGAGGAGGAGGCTGCCGACTGGGCGATACCACGGGCGAAGGTGTGAGGTCGACCACGTTGTGGGAAGATGGAGGAGTCGGCCGGACCGCCGGCGATGGTTGAGAAGAGGACGCAGCGGCCGTACCCGTGGAGCGTTGCGTCAGGCGACGCCTCATCTTTTCCGCTCTATTTGCCATCTCAGGAGTCGGTGCGATTGCTTCGCCGGAGCTGGAGGTATCGGAGTCGTACGGACCTGTAAAAGAAATACACTCACTTGTGAGTGTTCCCGTAGAAAACAAAAAGCAAGACGAGAAGGAAGAGGAAAGAGACGCTACCTATGGTGGCGGCGCCCTCCGGCAGAAGGCCATGCTTGGCCATGGCCCGGACTCGAGACCAGTACTTAACGGAGTACGGCCCGAAGCCCTTCAAGAAGTCGCCGCCCATGACAGCATCCTCCGTAAAGACGGCGCGCCGAGAGCAGGGCTTGAAGAGAGTCGCCGGCCATAGGGTCGGAAAGGTGAAGGAAAAAGAGCGAGGTCGGACAAAGAAATAAAGGGGCTTCCACTCTTTTATCGAGTCGGACAACCCCTCGAAAAGTTGTCGCCCCGGGCGGGCGGCGACTTGGATGAAGCCGGGCAAGTGAGAGCCGACCTTGTTCACGGTAAAGAGGTACCGGAATAGGTCCAAATCTGGCTCGCACTTCCACCAATGGCAGAGATTGATGAAGCTGGTCAGGAGTCGGTGAGAGTTAGGCACTAACTGGCCCGGGACCAAGTTATAATGCCGGAAGAGAAGTGAAAGAAATGGGTGCGGAGGCACCCGGAAGCCGAATGCAAGTGGATACCCACGAAACCCTCCGGTGGGTCGTGGATAGGCCGGCTTTCCGCCGCAACTACCATGGCCGAATGGCCAAGAAGAAAGCGGGCCATGTCCAGGTCCGCCGCTGTGGCCGATGACGGAAGGCCGGACGGCCGGACAACCGAGTCGAACTTGCCTCGCGGCCGTACGACGCCGCCCGGCAAAGCCGCCACCGTTGTCAACGGAGCTGGGCTCACCGGAGTGGCCGCCCCAGAAGAAGAAGGGGCTAGGGGAGAAGAAGAAGACGCCGCCTGAAAACCCGCCGGCATTTCCAGGCGGCGGACGACAGAAGAAGAAGAAGAGGACGACGGAGAAGTCCCCGCCGGGTTGTCAAAGGACGGCCGGCGGAAGGAAGAAGAAGAATGAGAAGAGGAAGACATTACTTACAGATTGAAGTTGAGGCTGAGAAGACGATGAAAGAAGCAGAAGCTTGGTGGGAGAATTGAAGAAGAAGAAGGGGAGGAAAAAGCCTTTTAAAGGGAGAAAGAAGTCCAAGAGGCTGCCACGCGGCATCTCCGTAGTGGAGGAATCGGAGGCGATAAGACGTCGAAGGGACGCCGCATTTAATGCCTCGATGGGCGGAACAACGGTTCAGGCCTAGGGCTAGCCTGCAAGCGGCGCGTCTACCCTAGGCCAAGGCTGAGTGATGATGACCCGGCCTGTCAGGCCAAGAGCCCATCAAGGCAAAAGACTATGGGGGCCCATCCAGATCTCGCTGGAAGTTTCTAGAAGTGAGCCGGCCGGGTCCGGCCAAATAAAGAGGCCCGGACGAGCTTCAGGTTGCAAGATCGGCCGACAAAATTTGCCGAGTCCGCCACCCACGGTACTTAGTCGGACAGAGTTTACAAGTCGGTCATAACGACCAAGAGCCGGCCAAAGGAACACGCAAAAACCGGGGACCGAAAAGTAAAAACGAGATTTTATTCCATAAAGACAGGGGTACAAGGCCGAGGACTCGGCTATAGGCATTACACAGAAAAGACAGGCCTAGGGCTTAACTTCCTCCTCCTCCGCGTGACGCACCGGCTCCGGACCCTCCAAATAGTAGTGGGGGCGGAAAGGCAACGGACTCGGCTCAGGCTCGGGCACGCGCAGTTCATCCAGATACACAGCAGGCTCCCCATCTATGACCATTTGCAGGGGCCTCTCCAGAGCACTCGGCGACATGGCCACGCCAAAAAGCGGAGGAGCCTCCCAGTCTAGGTCCCCCTCTGGCTCTGGGTCTTCTACCATGGGCACCATCTCGTCCTCCTCCGGTTCCACGACCATCGGATCAAGCATGTCAGGAGGCACCACGATGGGATCAGAAGCGGAGTCGCCCACCAGGTACCCTCCGCTAGCCGCCCTCTTCCGCCGGAGCTCCTCCTGCCGGGCATGCTCCTTATTACGGATGGACCAACGACGATCACCGTCCCTGAAACTCATAGCTTGAGGTTTTTGAGGTGTAAAAT